TGAACCGATGAGGAAAAAGCTCTAAAAGTCCTTCTGCAAAATTTGAAGGTACATTTGAGACAGCGTTCGAAACCGCGTCTCCTGAGCTTAGTCTCATTGCAAATGACCACTTCGACTTGGCAATCGGGAAATGTCCTCCCACCGATCGTTTCTGCACTTGTTTTACCAAGATATTCAGCAGATGAAGAAACTCAAGTTAGAAACTCCGCAAGGAAGACGTAGGTTCAGTGAGCCGTGCAGCGCTCCGTGGTAATAACACGTGATGCAGCTGTAGAAGAAGGGCAATTACGTTGACAGCGGCCCCGTATGGGCCCTCCCTCTAGGGGGAGGGGCTAATATCGGGGCGGCAGCTTTCTGCAACATGATGCTTGGCCCTGCTCCGGTTATACACAACATGCAGTACTAGCGTCGATGCCAAGATCCTAGAGCGGCATATTACCACGGTGGTTGTTCCGTCTCGAAGTGAGTTGGTCATGTCACGATTCTTTCAAGTCATTTTTATGCACTTCGTGACGAAGAAAGATTTTAACCTATGCAAATACCAAAAAACATGTCCGCACAAGTTTCTCACAGAGAGTCGGCTCCATTTATCTCGCTATCATTTCCTCCTTTCTTCATCAATTACCGTCAGCCTCAATGACGCGCAGAAGTCTCCATGCGAGAGAAGCATTCCTTCGTTGTGCTTATACCTAGGAAGCCTTCCCAATCTTGTGCGCAAAACTATAACCCCATTAGTACCACTCCAGTATTTTTTCTTGTATTTGGAGAGTTCATGAAAAAACACATCTTACGCCATCTCGATACCTACTCCATGTGTCCTGCGATCAGCATGGTTTTTTTTTTTTTTTTTTTTTGTCCGCCGCAAGTATAACCGACACACACAGACATTGCTGGCGAAGCTTTTAAAGCGACAGGACAGTGCCCCGTCAATAAGGATGCCTCCATTGTTTGATAAGCTGCTGTTGTAACCGCCGCAAGTGCGTTCGATCGATTTTATCACGAGCCGCAGCCAACATCAGCATTCTGTGATAAAACGTTCGGATCGTGCACTGCGCGTTAAGCAAGCAGTTATCTAAAACAATAACAGGCTTAAAGTAAAAAGCCTTTCTAGCCTTGCGGTTCACTGCCGATATCGGCTAACCGGCTCATCACGTTGAACGTGTGAGTGCTCGAAGGCAATGGCACAAATAGCCATTGAGCTGAGAGGTCAAAAGTGGCCCGGGGGGGGGAGCCCGGTAGCGTAATAGGGAACGCAACTGCCCGGTAAGCAGAAGATGCGGGTTCGAATCCCGTCCGTGGTCCGACTTTTGCCCACAACTCAGCATTCTTGTGATAAGCTGCATCTTGGGCCACTCCGAGCCAAAATGACGAAGGTTGACTTGGAGCCTAGGATCGTGAAAAGGGCCTCGCTAAGACTGTGTGGTTAGCAGCGCATATTCTGAAAGTATACCTGCTCCTAGGGACCACGGGACTAAGCTCTCGCCTATACTTTTCAATTTATATGTTTATGCATATGATGTTCCAGTAAATAGGCTGAAATCGAAGTTAAATGTAAGGCTTTTGGCGGTCGGCATAAAAACTTGTGCTGAGATTGACGATGACGGTGGTGTTTCCAAAATTAGTAAGGCAATCAAAGCTTTAAGTAATATGATTGCGAGGATTGGGCAGGCTTCCTCTCTGCCAAGAGAAGGCCAAAGTGTTGCATGTCGGTCCTAATAATGGGTTCCCCTACAGTCTGAATGGTATCCAGCTCGAGCCAGTATCGACAACGGTGCAGTTTGGCTTTCATGTCAATGAAAGGCTTGATTTCTCCATATTGTAGAACTGTTAGGCGGCATGTTTGATCAGCGTTATTATTTCAAATCTTTGTTTGAAGACCTTTCTCTACAGTTCCCCATATACCGCTTGCCGCTTACAGAATTATGTTGGGCCTATTTTGGTTTAGTCGATATTCTCGGCAAAGCTTTAATTCGTGGAGGTGATTCGCCTGATCAGTCGTTGTCCGCTTATATGCGCACGAGCTTTCATTTCGACTGATGACGAATGTACAATTCGAGACCAAAGTAGGCTAAAGTCAAGACATGTGGAAGATGATTAAGCTAAGAAAAGGCTATTGCAGGAATCATATGGCAAAATGAGATATGACTCATGTGAAATTATGGCAAAATGAGAAATGACTAGAGTGAAATTATTCGGAAATTTTATCGGTCAGATGAACTTGGGGTATAAAACTGCTGTGTTCAGTTCGTCCGCGCCTTTGCTTCAAGTGACTTGAGGCAGTTCAGACACTTTACGTTGCAAGTAGTATCGGTTGTCTGCGATTTTTCCTTCTTAATCGGTGCTGGACTGGCGCCGTCCCTTGACCATAAACTTCTTGGGCTTTTGAGGACTTCTTCCTTGGAAACGAAAGGTCGGTGACATCGCGATGGGTCAACAAAGATGCTAACGACGGTGTCTATCACCGGGAGGGAAGTATACATGAAAATTGCCATTTTGCGACAGGCGTCGGCAGTGGTACGTATTTCTTGCCTTCTAATAGAGCTGTCCTATACTTGGTTTGGATTAAACGCGAAGCGCGCTCCCACCTTCATCCCAGGAACGCTCTATGAGTCCTATCTTAATCGTGTACTTAAATGACGCCTATGGGAACCAGTTTAGACCCAATTTATTCTATGTCAGCTACTCGCTCCAGTCATTGAACTATCGGTAGTCCCTTTCATTTGTGCTGACCATCGTTAGTTGTTCTCTTTGCGGGTTGCTCCTGCTGATCACTTTTTACTTTTTTGTCGTTTTAACGTCGCCCCGATGGCGACGTAAGTGCTCAGTCATGTAATGAAATAAAGGTAACTAAAAATGGAGACTTGTAACAAGGTGGTATTTTTTACCCTGCAGGAGGCTTTAACAGCTCGCTATTTGGCTTGCTGCCTTCTACCGTGACTGAAGGCCCCGGGAGCGTTCGCTAGAAATGAAACTTTGCTTATTTTTTCATCATGCAAGCGCCTATGAAGTATGCAAAAACCATCCAGAAAAGGCGCCATAGCCTGAAGAATCCCCTCGTTAGTCCAGTTCTTTTCCGGCTTGCTGGCGGATTCAACAATTCACAGTGTGAAGTGCCTACTAAAACTCGGAGAGCATCTAGGAGACATTCATCTGAACATGTTCATTTAGTGTCTGTTTTTCCAAAAGAACTTGATGTTCTACCCGGTTTAAAAGTATGCGACTATGCAGATTGATTCGTGAAATAGTTTTGTCGCGCGCCCATGTCTAAAAATAAATCCGTTGACTGTGGTGCAGCTCTTTTTAGGCTGACGGCATTTGAATAAAGTTTCTCCTAACTAACTACGAAGCCAAAAATGGACAAAGGTTTCCGCTGGGAGCCTATAACCGTGAAGTGTACTAGTTAACTTTTGCTCGGTGGGACTTTTCGGGCAGGGTCCACAGCGCATCTTCTCAGAGTATGCCTGCTCCCAGTGGTGTCCCGCAGGGCTCAGTTCTCGTCTATACTTTCTAATATATATTTATACATTTGATGTTCCAGTAATCATGTATATATGCTACACTTTATTTCAGAGTGCAGGCATGAGTCAGAAAGCAGACATGGGCATCTATTAGGTTGTCCGGAAAGTTCTCAGCGTTTTGTGCACCTATTTTTGTACATTCACTGCTGATTAAAAACTCATTCTGCCTTGCTTCTCAGTAGCACATCCTGTAGAGAATTTCTTGCGCTATCTGATGGTATAATTGCCGTTTCACCATTGCTTGATAAACCCTCTTTTTTCAAGATTTTTTCAAGCATGTGAAAAGAGCACTTCGGACGATTTTTTTCTTCGACTATAAATTGGGGCAATCCGCAATCGAAACAGCTCAACAAATTAACCAGGTGTGAGGGCCCAGTAGTGCTAGAGAAAGCACTGTGCGGCAATGGCTCAACAAATTTCGTTCTGGAGATTTCAGCCTTGAAGGTGAACCTCATAGCGGTCGACCTAAAGCAATATCTGACGAGGATTTTAGGGGGATTTTGGAGGCTGACCCATCCCAAACAGTTCGAGAGATAGCAGAAGAGCTAGGCCTTGGCAAATCCACTGTTGCAGATGGTCTGGAACGCATTGGGAAGGTGAAAAAACTCGACAATTGGGTGCCCCACAATCGGAGTGACCGGCAGGAATCGGCACGTCTCGAGGTTCCTTCTGCATTGCTCGTGCGCAGACAGAAACGAAAACGCAGGCCTGTTTTTTGGACCGGATTTGTCACCTGTGATGAAAAAATATTCAATGTATATATGTATATTCATCGTATTCATGAAAATGAGAAGTTCCGGAGCAGTGGTTGGATTTCGACGAACCACCGAGGTAATTTTCAAAGCCGAACCCTCACGAAAAAAAGATTCTGGTCATGGTCATCGGCTGGTGTGATCCACTATAACTTTTTATCACCAGGCCAAACCATCACAGCAGAACCCTACTGTGAAGAAATCGACGAATTGTACCGAAAATTTTGTCAGATGCAGCCAACACTTATCAAAAGGGTCCGATTCCTTTGCATGACAACGCCCGCCCACACGTTTCACAAATCACTATCCATAAATTGAACGAATTGGGGGTTGAAGTTCTACCTCAACCGCCATATTCTTCAGACCTTTCGCCAACCGACTATCACCTTTTCTAACATTTTCAGAACTCCCTTGCTGGAAAATACTTCATCAATCAGGACCAGGCAAATTCTCGACCACCCAGTTTTTTATTTTGATGGGATTTCTCGACTGCTGTCACATTGGCAAAAGTGTGCTGATTCGAATGGTGCCTATTTCGATTAAATCCGATGAGTATTAAAAAAGTTACGATCGTTTAAAGTGAAACACCCAAAACGCTGAGAACTTTCCGGACAACCTAATAATACTAATTGCACGGCTTTTTTTGCCTGTGCATCGGTTATATGTCATCTTTTCAAACTGGTTTCGTTTCTGTACCGTTATAATCCCATAACTTTCCCATTATCCAGAAATGTTCCTGTACTCATTGGTGTTCTTTCCGTTGGCAGTTGCTACTCTCATACCTAGAGAACTTCTTTTTTCTAGTCAGAAATACACAAATGTCAAGCTCAGTCCCAATGGAACGTGAGTTGTTTCAGCTTTTCTGTCACAGAGAGGTTTTTTCAATTCTGGAAAGTTGTTGGACTCTCATAGAAAATACCTAGGTATGTTGCCTACATAGCGTCTGACCAGAACAAAGTGAAGAATGTGTTTGTCAAATGCACCAAATGTAAAAATGCCCGGCAAGTGACATTTGAGAAGAGTAATGATGTTCACGGTGAGGTTTCTATCGATTCTTTCATTAATATCCCATTCGTTTTGGCGAAGATTGTCAAATGGGGCAACATAGCGTTAAGGATAGAGCCGCATGCATGCGTAGCGCTTCCCGATATACATTAAAGGGGCACTATTTACCCTTTACTGCCCCAACCATCCAGAATTGAGCCAGTTTTTGACCGACTTTTTTCTCCGTGGACAGATTTGGCTCAAATGTTGTCTCCTGGGGTAGTTTGACCTCCTGAATACGAATATCACATCGCTTAGCCCGAAACTTCCTGGCGCCCGCGCCACAGGCGCCGGTGATTTGCGGTTTGGCGCCAGCGTCTGTAGCTCGGGCACCAGGAGGTTTCAGGTCGAGCGGATATGATATTCG